ATGATTTCTTTTAAACTAATATGTTCTCTGCTTCTGTGCCCTTGGGCAAGTTTTTCATGTTTGACAAAACTTATGAAGAGATGAGACACTTCCTAACATGTTAATGAGTATAGGCAGATAAAAGGCATCACCATAACAGTTATAAACGAAAAGGGATAGATGTATCAAGACAGACACTGAGCTAGCATAGACTGATATCTTGCCAATGAAAAAATGAGAGTTTAGATCAGGTGAAATATTTCCTATAAAATTCTAGTCTTACACTCTCCTTCCCTCTGTGGTGGTGGTACCCCTCAGGTGGTTTCTGCCCACTATCACCCCACCCAGGTGGTCCTGGGGGATTATGCCACTGTGGACCAAAGCACCGGGACCCACAAAGCTCATCAGCTGTGCAACCCAGCAGCAGCTTGTGCAGGCAGGTGTGACTGAGGAAAAAAAGAGAAAAAAGTGATGAGGACCCTGGGTTTTTTTTTCCACCCCAGAGCTTTCCTGCCTGCCTGAGCTGCACAGGGCCTGGTGCTTCCCTCCACATCAGTAGTGCCCTCAGGGACAATCTGGGTGGGCTGATAATAGGTGGGTGCTGCCACTGCCAAAGAGGGAAGCACTTGGCCCTGTGTAACTCAGGCAGGCAGGTTCCAGAAGGAAAAAAAAAAAAAAAAGATCAGGTTCCTCACTGCTTTTTTCTTTTTTTTTTTTTTTTTTTTTTTTTTTTTTTCCTCAGTCAAGCCTGCCTGCATGAGCTTCCACTGGGTTGCACAGCCCCTGAGCTGTGCAGGGCCTGGTGCTTCTCTCCACCATGGCAGCACCCCTCAGGACCACCTGGGCCAGGTGCTAGCCAGCAGGTGCCTTCTTGGGGGTGCTGCCACCATGGAGGGAAGATCCGGGGTCCCCCACAGCTCAGGGGCCACTTGGCCTATCAGCAGCTTGTCTCCTAGCCACAGGAGAGGCAGGTAGGCTCCAGCACCCCGTGCACCATCCCCGCCACCTTCCCACTGCCTGGGACCACCCCAAAATGGGCTGGCTTGCCCTGGGATAGAGCAGCAAGGTGGCAGGAGGGCTGCTGGGTATGCTGGCAGTGCGAGAAAGTGGTGGGGACAGTGCACAGGGCTTTGGAAGCCCACCAAGCCTGAGCTTCCCTGAGTATGTCTGGGCATCCAGCATCCCATGCACTGTTGCACTTTGTTACAAGGCAAACTAAAATATCTCAGATGGGTTTTACCTTGCTATGTAACAAAGTCACTGAAAGTGAAATATGCCACCAAATGTGTAAACAACAATGCCATTAAAATGATGTAAGAGGGTAATTAAGCTGCTTTAAAGCCAATTTTGTTGCATGTACAAGCACCCAAAGTTTGTATATGAAATCTACAAAGAAATCTTGTAAAAGACAAAGTGGTGTAATGGTGTTATTAGATATTTTTGTAAAGGATATATTTTTAAAGAACCAAATGCATGATGTTTCAAATAACCATTTCTGTCTTGTTTATTACTTTGACATTATATAAATGTGATGCTGCAAAAAAACCCAAACTGAAATACCCTAAATTCTGAGAAGCGGAATAATTTTGTTCTGAAAAATTCCATTTTTTATTGCTACATGTTTTTTTTTACTGATCGTCACAAGGTAATATTATTTTGAAAAGTCAATGAAAAGTTTGAACGCAGAGTGAAATAAAGATCAAATGCTAATCTTCCTTTAAGGAGGATTAACCTAACCTAATCCTTTAAGGAAGATTAATGTGTATTGTATAAGAATGTTAAATATGTCCCAAGAAATACAACACACAGAATGGCAATAATTAAACTTCAGTCCTTATTACATATAATTCTAAAACAATTTTATAATATGATAATGTGCTAAATGTTAAGTGAGGAACTGAATTTTTTTTAGATGTGTGTAAGTTATAGTTTTCCTTCCCCATGAGAATTTTTAAAAATAAATATTCTTGCTTGAATTGAAATGAAAGATTGAAATTTTGAAAAATTCATGAACTAAAAAAAAATGAAAAGATTTCAAATCAGATTAACTGGGAGGGCAGGGAGCTTGCAGGAGCTGTAAGCAGACCAAGAAACATGCCAGGTCATTGCTATTGACTCCAGATTTAGGACCGAGAGGCCTTGATCGGGGAGGGGGTGGGCACCCACCTTTGGTAAGGTGTCACATCCTATTTTTATAAAAAAAATAAGCAGCTGTAACTCAGATAATTACACGATCAGGTGGGTGGCAAATTGGCTAGTGGGATGCACCCAGAGAGTGGTGGTGGATGGGTTGGGATTGGCTTGGAAAGATGTGGGGAGTGGTTTCCCCCAGGGCTCAGTCCCTGGGCCAGTGCTGTTCAATATCTTCATCAGTGATTTGGACGAGGGGGTGGAGAGCACACTGTCCAAATTCCTGGATGACACCAATTTTATCAAGGGAGGACAACAGGGTATTGAAGATGCGCTATTTACCAGAGCACCCCTAGGAGTAACTAGGAATAATGGGTGCAAACTATTGGAGAGTAGATTCAGGTTAGACATTAGGAAGAAATTTTTTACAGTAAGGGTGGCCAGAATCTGGAATGGGCTTCTAAGAGAGGTGTTAGTATCACCTAACTTGGAGGTCTTCAAGAGGAGGCTTGATAGACACCTGGCTGGGGTCATCTGAGCTCGGTCGTCTTTCCTGCCAGGGGCAGGGGGTCAGACACAATGATCCTTTGTAGTCCCTTCCGACTCTACAATCTATGAATCTATTAAACCAAATTATGGGGCAAGATAGATACATTGGAGGGTAGGGAATGGATCCAGCTGGATTTGGACAGGCTGGAAAAGTGGGCAGAACAAAAAAGGATGCAGTTCAACAAAGATAAGTGCAGAGTGCTGCACCTAGGAAGAAGGAATCACCAATACACATACAGATTGGGGGATGACTTTCTAAGCAGCAGAGCAGCAGAAAAGGATCTCAGAGTCATAGTTGACTCAAAGATGAATATGAGTTGACGTGATGAAGTGATCAATAGAGCTAACCACACTCTATCATGCATTAACAGGTATATCACAAGCAGTTCTAAGGAGGTGATACTTCCCCTCTGTGGCATTGGTAAGGCCACAGCTGGAGTACTGCATCCAGTTTTGGGTGCCAGACTTCTAAAGGGATGTGGATAATCTTGAGAGGGTCCAGAGAAGGGCCACTCATATGGTTAGGGGCCTGCAGAAAAGGTCCTACGAGGGGAGATTGAGGGATATGAATCTCTTCAGCCTCTGTAAGAGAAGGCTGAGAGGGAATCTGATGGCCATCTAGAAATTCGTTGCAGGGAGCAGCAAGGAATAGGAGATAGTCTGTTTACCAAGGCGCCCCTTGGAGTAACTAGAAACAATGGCCACAAACTGACAGGGATCAGATTCAGATTAGACATTATGAAGAACTTCTTTATGGTTAGGGTTACCAGAATCTGGAATGGGCTCCCAAGGGAGGTGGTGCTCTTCCCTACTTTGGAGGTCTTTAAGATGAGACTGGACAAACACCTGGCTGGGGTCATCTGACACCAGCACCCTTTCCTGCCCTGGGGTAGGGGGTTGGACTCAATGATCTTCCAAGGTCCCTTCTGACCCTAAAAATCTATGAAATCTACATGAGGGGCTTATATTATTGTAACTACATACATTATAGAAAAAGCTCTCTCAAAAAAGGTGTTGCTTGGCTCCCTTCCTCCTGCTCTACAGCCACAGCACTGCTTATTCCTCTGTGTTCCTTTACTCCTTTCTTCCCTTATAGAGGAAGAAACATTGGTCCTTCAAGTCATTCGCATACCAAAAATTCCTATTTAAGAAAAAAAAGGAGGAAAAGAATAAGAAACACAGAGCATAAAAGTTCAAGAAGAGGTACAATGGAAAGGCTGAGCCTACATTCTGTATGGCAAGAGCACCAGAAATCACAGTAATACTACCATACCCTAAAGAAGAGTCTGGCTTAATTTAAATAGATTTATTAAATTTAGGGATCATAAAATGATTTGAAAGATGGCTGCTTGGCATTAATTTAGTAGGACAGAGGAGGTTTTCATAACTTAATTTGATTTTCAAAATCCATTTTTATTTAGAGATATGCATCTTTTATGGAGTACTATAGGTAAAAATTTTAATTCAGTAGCTAAATTTTGTTCTTCTTTAAGCCGAGACTAACTAGATACCACAAATTCCATATAAATATGTTTATATTCTACCACAAATCTAAACATATATATATTAACTATTTAAAACAGGCAATGATCTGTTTCCAAATGATTGTGTATATATCATTATTTAATTCTTTGAAAACATAATGGCATAATCTTTTAGGCTAGGGAAGGGACTGCTTGTACATTATGAAATAAACTGTGCAACAAGTTATGCTCTGAAAGGGGCTCGGTTCCTGCTCTTCTCTGAGTATTACTCCTACTATTGCATGAGCTCAAATGGTAGTTCTGGATATGTAAAACTGATCTTCAGCTGAGGGTGAATAGTAGAAAAGGGAGATGGTGAGAAAAAGAGTCTATGTCAGATGCTACATTGCATTACAGCATTTCAAATATGCGTATGCCAATATCTTTGATATGAAAAGAGTCATGTTATATAATAGGCACTTACATGAGGCAGGCAGCCATTGTAATGATTTGTTAAAAACACTTGTTGTAGAAAGGTACACAGCCTCTAAAAATAATTGTTAAATACTTATAAAAATTGAAATAATTTTACTAATATTCTTTAAAGGAATGGAGAGGGACTAAGCAATCCTTGATAACTTGCTTCATGGCAAATTATTATTATTCACATTAAACTGTCCACACTTGTTCTACTGAAATGGTTATACTGTATTATGCTAATAGTTACAGTGTTTTCAGAAGGTTATATAATGGTTATATTATGTTAATAGTTATGATGTTTTCCCAGAATACCCTGAATAAAATATTTTCCAATTCATCTTGTTATTCTAGTGCTATATATTCACATTTCTTCATTTTTTCTGTTCCTCTTCACAAAAGCCTTGATGATTTGCTAAGATGTGGGGTGACCTTTGCAGCCAATATGGTGGTTGTGGACAAGGAAAGTACAATGAGCGCTGAAGAAGACTACATGGCAGATGCCAAAACTATTGTAAATGTTCAAACGCTATTTAGGTAAGTGTTTTCATAAATAACCCATGCATATTTGTTAATCTTTAATTATTTAGAATTTTTTTATGATAGGAGGGATTGAGGCATTGCCTTTCAACTGTCTTTCTTCTTCCTCTCCTTTCCTTAAACATCTTATTCTATGATCAAGCAAAGTTGTTGTTTCTGCTTGACAAGCTACACAAGACTACTGAAGTGTTAGATTTCAGATTTGAGATTCAACTTCTCACATCCCAAGATGACCACCCATTTTCTTCAGAGTCTTCAGGAAGCAGTTGGCTATTTTGTGGGATGGGAAAGAAGCTAGTTAGCTGCTTCCTCAAAAAATCCACTAGAACTTTTCTCTCAATAAGATATCACATGATGAGAGAAGAATCTTAAACCCTTGAAGTATGTCCTGTGAGAAAGGGAAAAACTATAAGTAGGGTTGTTCGTGAAAATAGATATATACTAGCCAATTGCCTGTCAAGAATGAAGTGGGGGGCAGGGGAGAAGGGGGATGGGATGGAGTCACCTAACACCCCATGCTGCCATTGTTCTGCTTCTTGCAGGGAGTGGGGTGGGGGAGCCAAGACCAGTGCTGTTGGCCTTGGCTCTCCCACCCTGGCTGGTCCTCAGCGCTGCTTGGGAATCATGGTGGTGCTCCCCCACACTTGGAGCACTCTGGTTGGCTGTTTCCATCAGCCAGTCAGAGTGCAAATAAAGACGGGCAGACAGAATTAGGCTTTTATAATATTAGACTTAGGCTTTTATAATATGCATATAGAGGGCATGCTCACATCAGCTGGTTACCCAAGGTAAACACATGTGGAGACTTACGGCTGTATAGGTGTTACATGGTAACTGCCCATGTGAAAGCCTTACAGTGAATGCAAACTACCTTGTGATTTCTTAGTTCTTGATGTTGTGTAGTTTACATTTACTATGGAATAAGAGCATGTCCAGAGTCATTGGCATAGTAGCTACAGGAGGAAGCTTTTTTGTTCTCACCCTAGTTTACCTTGTTCTTGTGTCAATGCCCATCATAATTTGGAGTGGCATACAAATACCTAGTTTGCTCCTATATTTGCACCAAATTAGTTTTTTGTGCCTTTTGATTTAAGAATGATAAATCAGAAAGGAGGCTGAGAAACTGGTGCTCAGTCAAAGATTTAGGTAATTTAGGGCAGGATTTGGTCTGTGAATTTCCCCTAAAGCCTCAGTTTCAGTTCAGTATAACATGTCTAACTTTGTGACACAGCAAAGCACTTAAGCATAAGCTTCACTCTAAGCATATGAAGAGGATAAAAGAGCCAACAAGATTATTTATGTATTAGAAGTTACATGTGTACTTAATAAGTTGCTGAATAGGGTCAACAGTTCTAAAAATGAGCAAGTGGTTCATATCAAAGAGTTTTTTTGCAGAGAAGCACAATTTAAGGATTCATCTTGCAGTCCTCCTAATCAATGACAGTTCAGTCACTGACTTTGCACAAATTACAAGGAAGAAAGACATGTAGGCCTGCGCCCTTCATTTTAAGAAATACATAACATAACTTGTTACGATTTCATCTGCAAAAGTAGTGCAAATTGCATTCCATTTCATAAGAACAAAATATTTTGAGAGAGACTTATTATGAACTTAACAGAGAAACATAGTGGAAAATACAGGCTATCTCATCATCATACACATGCTGATGAAACTGCACAGGCAACCACTGTTGCTTTTTAACTTTTGAGTGCTTGACTTTGCAACATGAATAGTGCTGTTTTAACACAGTTGTATGTGGTTGCATGTGAAATATTCAATCAAAAACTGGTGTTTAGTTTGCAACTATGATGAAGCTTAAAACTTGACTGTCAGTGGTTTTTCTTCAATTTATCCCACATACTGGGCTTGTACTTTTCAAGAACATACTTCCTGTAATAAATATAAAATGTTTGACGGTTAAACTTGGAGTTAAATATAAATTTTTCATCTACTGATTAATTTTGCTTTATGTTGGAAGATACCTGTGAAATAAATGAAAACTGCAGTATGTGTCACAAGCATGCAAACATGAATGATACTACCTCTCTTAACAGCTTTTTTCACTAGATGGCAACTCTAACACATAGCTGAAATATAACTTTCTTTAAATATATAGCATTCTAAAAGAAGACCAATTAATGATTTTTAATCCATTTAGAAGATCTCACAATAGGTTTTGAAATGTCTATAATTAGATGGAAAACCTTTACTAGTACTATTTTATAAATAATGTAATATGAGTAAAGTATTAATAACATATAGAAACAATTTTTACAGACAAAACATAGGACTGGAATTGAACAAATGCATTATTCATGGAATTTTGTGACAGTATATTTTATTAGAGTACATGTTTAAACAATTAGTTTAACCATCTTATTAAATCTAACTAGGGGTATAGGGATGCTATATTTCAATACAGCAATAAGATTTAAGAGGAAATGTGGCAGAAAAAAAAGAAGATGTTGAACCCAAAATAATCTAGGTTACACAAAGAAATTTAAGCTTGAAATAGGATGTTTAATACATGCAAGTATAATGTGATATTGTTTGGTAGAAATACTCCATAAGAATGTTTTCAAAGTTGTTGGTAGGGAAGTAGACCTATGGAATTTGTCATATCAGCATGAAAAATATGTTAAACATGGGTCTAGATTTTAGTTATGAATTGAAAATAAGCATCCTTAAAAAGAGTGAGTAACTAGGTGGTGTAACCAGGGAAAATGGCTCCCCCACTGACTTGGGGGCAGGGGACATGTAGAAAATAATGCTGCCACCACAGCCCCACCTAATCATTCCAGTGGTATGATGGCATCTGGAAGTTGCCACTGCCCTTCTGCGTCACAACTGGCTGGGATTCCTGGATACATTGTTATGCCTCTGTACTGAGCGTTTCATGGAAACGTTGTAGAAGGATTTAAAAATCGCTGGAGTATTTTGCTAAATATATTGTTTTCACACGGATCACTGTAGTTCTCTTTGCATCTTCGGTGTTAGGTAAAGTGAATATTTTAGTCGCACCAAATCCACGCTACTGCAGCAGCCTCATGCAACATACAGAGCAGCAACAGCTGGGTGCAAGGACTCTGTGCTGTTGCTGTATTAGTAGAAGTCAGAGCAGCATTATCTGCACCAGCAGCAGCTGGGGACTTGGGGTCTCTACACATGAGTGCAGAGGCTGCTCCGATGTGCTGGAATTCCAGCATGTCAGAGCAGACTCAATTAATCAGGTCTGCCGGAGCATGCAATTGCCATGCTCCAGCAGCCTCCTGCATCTTGTGTGTCAGTGTCCCCCCACTTAAAAATGGCAGTTGGGGGGCACATGAACTAGAGCTTGTTGAATGAGCTTTTGTTCAAGCACACCTGTCTCTATTTTTAAGCATGGAAATATAGGGGATGTAATTAGATCTGCTCTCGGAGCTGCTGTTATTACAAGTGCTGCCCCTCTCCACCCTCAAATAACGTGTAAAAGTGCCCCTTGAGTTCCCAGGGAAGGTAACACTGATTCCTCCCTCCCCACTCTGGTCTCCAGGGTTTGACATCCTCTTCCACTCAGGGTTTTGTCCATGGCACAGAACTTGATAGTTATTCCTCTACCAAGCGTTTTATTCACAACTATAAGAATAAACTAAGACTCTTAAAGCCAACAGGAATGAACTAAGTAACTTCAACGAAAGTAGCAGGCCCTGAAAACATAAAATATTGCAATACCTTTTTGCCTTTTAATAGCTTAATGGCCTAAGCTGTTAGATCTTATAAAGCCAGGCACCCATTTCTCATATAAATTATAAATTCTGACATTGCTTTGTGGTTTAGATGAATTAAATATTTTGCCTAATTTAAATAATTCTTCTCCTGCCACACACCCTTAAAGGATAAAAGTTCAGTTTATGGCATTTCCTTTTTTATCCATTGAAGGCTAGAAACATACCAAGCTGTAGCAGGTTGCCACCTCATGGCCTCTTCAGCAAGGCTTTTGTTCCCTGAGCATCTTTCAGGGACCCCCAGTAATAAACAGAGTTTTTAAAAACCATTTGGCTTTTGTTTCCTTGGGCATCTGTCAGTATTGCCTAGTAATATATGGAGTATTGTAAAAAATAAAGCAAATAAACAAAAAAGCCTTCTTGTCCTAGACACTGAGAGGTGTCCCCCATGGCTCCAGCCTTCCTGTAGCAGGCTTATCTTCCCTCATAGCTCAGCAACCTCTTGCTCTGGTGCTTCTTCTCTGCAGCCTCTCTGGTTCTCTTTGCTGGGGTTTTGACTCCCAGTGAGCCACTACCTCATTAGCTTTCACGCAGCTGCTGCCTCTCAGCCAGACTGACTGTCTCCTTTTAATGGGACAGGCACACTATTATCCATGCCAATTAAAATGATGGCACAACATCACCTTATTTTCTTTAACTATAGCTTAAAGGGAGTAAATGGGTATGAATCCAATGGTCTCACTGAATATAACGTGGATCGTTAATCTTTTGGATGTAAAGGAACAAGCTTAGCTCAGTTTAAAAGTATAAATAAAACATCCTGCTTGGGCTGTCCATAGGCTATAGCTGGTTTCGAGGTAAAACATGACATTGACCAGGAAAAACAAGCTGACAGCCCACTGTTAGGAGGTTCATCCTCTACCTCTTTACTAGACAACACTTGACTCTACAATGGGATTGCCTTATGGGATGGGATGGGCCCTGGTGTGGCCATGGCACCCCCTAGTGGCCATAGTAACCCTGCCCTAGTCTAGTTTCTCTGTGTACCACTTCTCTCCCCTGCCCCCTTGCGGTCTCACGTGCAAGGCCTCAATGAAAATGTTCTATAACAGTGGCAGAGTCATCTGTCCCACCCCCCACCTCACCCCCCAGCATCTTGGAGTGATCTTACGATGCTGCCTTAACCCTAACTTCATTTACTTAGTTGGACCCCTTAGTCCACTACCAGATACCTATCCTGAGCCCTGATGGCACTTATCAGGCACCTCTCATATCCCCATAGGTCTTATGGT